TGACCCGTGCATGAAACTCATTCTTCTTTTTTAACCATCATGCTTTTTTACTACACCAAAAAATATCTGGCTGTTAAGTTGCAAATTTCCTATTTTTGCAGCATTTATGCAAAAGTCAGAAACACCAAAAGGATGGGAAATTATCTCCCTTCCAAGATTATAATGTTTTGTAAAGATGTTAAAGCTTTTTCAAACAGACGGCAGCATTCTTATTATTTAGATAAATGGATTAAACCAGAGTTAAAACTGCAGCCACAGGTTTGTTCCCACACTGATGCTTTTTTTACACACAGGTGAGAGACATTATAAGGTGTCTTGCCACTTAAATTCTAGCTACACGGCTGCTGTTTACAACTCCTACATTTATGATTATTAATTAGAAGAATGTTACATCTGTCTGCATGATGTAACTGTCTGTCTGTCAGTGTTGTTTGCTGCAGAAAACGATAACTTACCAGCGACTTAACATCTCTGCAGAGTAGACAGAAAGTGCAAGAAACTTTTATAATTCTATCACATAAATAGCAGCTTCACCTTTTCTTTTTAACCCTTTTTAAAACAACCTTTATGCTGATGGAAAAGTCAAAGATGGGCTCAAGTTAAACAGTCAATCTTTCAAATTAAGTGCAGGAAATGCACAAAAAGTAATATGCAGATTTGCAATGAAAGAAAATAAAAAAGACTTGAAAATGTCAACGATTTTTCTGTATGAGCACACCACTGTTTGGATCTTTATTAGCTTGTAGCTTTATAGATACGCTCTCTACTGCACTCTCTACCCTTAAAAGATCTTAAACTTTTACATGCTTTTGTTTTTCTCTGTGATTTCAGATTTCTATGTTTTTCCACATTACAGTTCTGAGTATAATCTGTGTGCTTGTCACAAGTTGCACGTAAAAAATCAGAGTTTAATCAGAGCTTGTTTTCATGTTTATCAAGTTGTGTTTCTGGAGAGCAGCTGATGTTAAAATGTCACAGAACATCCTGTGTCATGTCACATCAGGCAGCACAGGAAATATCCAGTATAAATATTAGACTGGATCTGTTCTTCAGAGATGAATTACAGCATAAGGACAATATTCACATGTAATAAAGGACATGATACCAGTATGAGGTGTGAGAGCTTCTCTGTCAGCCTGATGTTGTGCAGCTCTGAGGGGCTCTCATGTAAAAATAGAAAGAAGGGGACACATGCAGGAATCTCTCACAGCTGCCCAACTTTCTAACTGCTCGTCAAAGTATACCGAGAGGAAACATGCCGGTACTCACCGATCAGCAGCGGCAGAAGGCGGAATGAACTCAGACCTGCGAGGAAGAAGAGAAGAAGAAGAAGAAGAAGAGGAAGAGGAGGAGTGATTCCAGTGAAAGACTTCAGGCAACAGAGGAGACCGTAAACTGGACCCTCTGATGGAGGGGGGGCTGCACAATATGCGTCGCACATTCCTCACAGCTGACAGGGACAGACTAAAATGGGCAGGAAGGCGTGAGCAGATCAACCTGCAGTGACGCAGAGCTCCGACAGGGGGAGACAGAGCACAGAGTACCACCCGGGCGTTATGAAGAGCCTGTTCTTTGGGGATATTTGAGTGAATATCAACAAAGTTATTTAATTATAATACTTTAAGATTCCCAGAAGTTTTTTTTTTCTCTTGTGAGCAGAATTTATCAATCAAACTAATAACTTGTTTCTTTATAAAGGCTTTATATGTGATTATTTTACACTTAAATGTAATATAAATCAAGTATTTCCTCTGAAAATCACTGTGAGTCATGACTGTCTACAATGGGTGTAACACCCGAGTCCCACTGTCTGTGATGTTTTCAGAGTTTTCAGAGTCCTATCTTCACTTTGTTTACATCGCCAGGACGGCCGGCTGGCTGACTCCTCCCCTCGTGTATAAAAGTTGTTTAATTGAGGGACTAGAGAAAAGAAGAATAACATACTGTACTCACTGCTTAACTGTGTTTCTAGATCACGCTCATTTCAGGTAAATTTACATGCAGTGTGAAGATACCAGCGTAATAAAGATCACTAGCATTAGCATGCTAACACAACAATGCAGTGCGAGTTGTTTTGGTTTCATGCTGGTGCTCAAGGGCGACATCTGCTGGATCAAAAAATCACATATAAAGCCTTTAAGCTGAAACAATAACTGTGCTAGCTTACGCCCTGAAGTTAAGACTATTTTCAGACTTCATGGTTCATAACTATACTGTAGTTGATTTATCATTTATCAGTTTTACAACAGCTGGTGTCATATTGTTCTTTAATGAGACATTTCACAAAGAAATCACGACTTCACTGATGCACAGAATAGTAGAAAAACAACAACTAGCCAATAAAATCAGTTCTGATTTATTATAGCACAGTATTGACATATTAGCGTATTTACATTTGAATTTTACATTTGCACAATGTTACATTCACAAGAGGCACTGATCTAATCTGACATCTTAACGATGCACATTTAGAAAAAAGACATCTGCAACAACCTTCACCTTTTACATTCATTATATATAAATACATTCAAGCATCACATCACCATGTTTCTCTAACTCTAACATGTGTCTCTAGTCCGTCTATAAACCCCCCAATGATGAGAGAAGTCCATCCTCTCCGTCTTTCACCTGCTCCACTTTTCAGAAAATGTGTGCTCAAACAGGCAGTTTGGAGATTTTCCCTTCATGACATCACAAAGGGCAGTAGCCCCTCCCCCAGGTGGGTGACACTCCCACAGCTAGGTGTTTGTTCTGCCCTCTGATAGGGCAGAACAATAGGACATGGAGCGAGAAATCCTGAGTACACCCGAGCCCTTCCAGAGAGGGGGCGTGGTCAGACACAGCTCATTTACATATTTAAAGGTACAGAAACAGCCTGTTCTGAGCAGGGCTGACATAGAGGGGTTTATAGACATGATCAAATACAGGATCAGAGTGGATTTAGAACAAGAAACTTCACACACATGTTTTGAGGAGCTCTGAGACTTATTTCAACTGGTTGAAGAGGAGGAGGATATGTGACCTTAAAATGAAAGCATGATCTAATATTTAATAAAAGTCATAACAGTTTAAGAGCACATTAGTAACTGTCATGAGTGGACAGCTGTTTGCACACACACAGAACTTTTTCAGACGCATCAGCTCCTCAGTCAAAGTACGACTGTGATGTTTGAAAGGTAGACTCACAGTACCGAGGTAGACAAACACAAACATGGCAAAAAGACGCCCATCTGTGAAGTAGCGAACAGCTCCTTAATGAAATGACAACATCTTTCCTCCGTTTTTTACTCCGCCTGGCAACCAGCAAGCTCATGTTTTATTTGACGGACAGATTTCAGGTCGAGCCAATCACCAATATGTCTCTACTGAGGGAAGTTTAAGCGCACCTTTAAGGCGTTTACTAAACAGATCAAGTTGGAGGCTGTTCCCGTGGAATCATGTTTGGTGACAAGTCTGTTATCTCCTCTTAAATCCATATTCGGTGATAATTCAGGCAGATTTAGTACTTGTTATGACAGATTTATTCACTGCTTGGATCAGATCGTGGCTTACTTTGCCCCTAACTGCTGCATGAAGTGAGTCGGTCCAGCTTAAAGTAGGGCAGCCAGTGTGTGTGTGTGTGTGTGTGTGTGTGTGCTCAGGCCGTCCTTTCTCCCTGCGTCGGGACTTGCAAGAAGACATCTGTTTTTTCTAAGTCCGTCGTGGCCATATGACAGAAGCTGGGTAAGCGGAGATCGTAGCGGTGTCCCGAGCTGTCGAAGGCTTTGTCGTTCAGAGAGAACAACTTCTCTGCAATGTCGTTACGCACAACCAGGGCGAAGATCTTCGCTATGTAGCGATGCTTCGCAAACAGCAGATAAAGTTTCTTCCTCCTCCACGACACGTATCTGCAGGGGTTATCAGCACGCAGGGTCACCTGAGGAGGACAGAAGATTAGAAGCTTTGAGGGAACAAAGTGGCATTCATGATGTCAGTTAAAATATTATTACAGTTTATTACAACTTTAGGATAATCATGAAGGTTTAACACATTAAATATAGGTGCTGATTTCCACAGCGGAGGAACAAAAAACTTAAAGGAGCAAACAAGTAAGATATCTATTGACTGAAATGATAAAGGTATCTTACTATCTGATCAGAGATTAAGGAAACATGCTATGGCTTCTCTGACAACAATGCAGCAGCCAGTATGTCCTCCTTCAGCTCTCTATGATGTTTAGAATTTAGACTGCAGTACCCATTTTAAACACTGTCAGAGTTACATACTGCTCCTTTAAGTTAAAAACTAAATACCTACTTTTGTTTTTTTTTAATGTCTGATAGGTTAGCAACTTAGCTTTGAAGTCTGAAATTAATGTTTGCATTTCAGACGTTAAACGCACCGTGATAAGGAATGAAGATAATATATCAAACATGGTGATGATGAAAAAATATATTTTCTCGTTTTTAAGATTTATGATTTATGGATGCTGTGTTGATGCAGGGTTCAGTGAATTCCTCCTGAGGTATTACAGTCTAAAAGGTTTTTTTTTTTTTTTTTTGCAATTCTCTTTTTATTGAGACAGACTTGAAACATACATACATGACATTTTAGCATCTCTACATGTTATCAAACCTGTTCTCCCTTTTTTTTTTTTTTAAGTCTGAAAGGTTTTTGAACATGCAGGTGAGATGGAGTCACCTGGAATATTCCCTCCTCTGACGGTCTGAGGGAGTCCCACTCAGGTGAGTCCAGGAACTGGAACGGGTAGATGTAATGAAGAAACTCTCCGTTTACCGTCACACTGATTCTGAAGGAGAACGAAGGGAAACATTTGAGACTTATGTTGGCCCTGAGGGTTTACACAATCACTAAAGTAGAAAAAAAAAAGAAAGAAATGAATCTGCACCACAGCCGGTGTTCAGTGTATAGTCAAACATCAGCTGTGACATCATGGCTTGGGGCGTGGCTTAAAGGAGACTTCCAGTAAGGGACCATATTTTATCATATTTTGGGCTGTAAACTCATAAGAATAAAAAGATAGCAACAAATGTTCTTAATCTTTTAGCCTTGTTCCACCTGTTCTTTGTAGAAAGCCCTGATAAAAAAATGACCCACATCAAAGCGGTAATAAAAGTGCAAACGAGACAAATCCAAACCAAGGAGCAGGGCGGAGAAGACCACATTTCCTGTCTGCCACTATCACAAGATCTCAAAGCAGCTGTGATGTCTAACAATGTTTTTAAAGACGATGATAGAAAACAACGACCAAGGAAACAGCAACCACCATGCAAAAACATACGAAGCAAAGTAGCTAATGCGTTCAAAAAGAAATCGCTACAAGCGTTACAACGTTTGTATTCCAGGCCAGCGGGGGGCCGTGATTCATATTTATTTGATGTATCAGTTATTTAACCAGGAGAGAAACTCGTTGAGACTAAAAATATATTTTTCAGGAGCGTCCAAGCCGAGACTAACAACGTTTCTGACAGACAATTTGAAGCAGTACAAACTTACAAAGATAATCAAAGATACATTAATACTTTAAAAGACATGAAACAGCAAATACATCTCAAAACTGACAACAATCGTAAAAATATCAGACAGAACATCTACAGCCAGGTGTGACGGCCTCCGAGTAGTTATACATCCTCTTGTCCATCGAAAGAGGCCAGGCAGGAAATGTGATTCATTTCATCACTTATTAGGAAAAAAAAAGATGGACCCACTGAAGCAGAACGTTTTTGGGGTCCATGTCTAACTGACTGAAAAGCATGGTCCTTCATGTCTGCACCTGCACGTGGACCACTGAATAAACAGAACATGTAATGATGTGTTTCAACTACTAAAGACAATAAATCCTCTCCGCACGTAGGTGGAAAAATACATGTGAGTATTTTGGTTTCAACTGTCTGAATAAAATAGTTATCAGCATATCGGATATCAGCAAATATCTAATATGGTGCATGATGCGTCCTGTCAATTTGTCTTCACACAGGTGTTGCAGCAGTTTTCAAAGAAGGTACGGACTTCCAATATGGCTGCTGCATCCTCGAACAGACTAGAGTTATATTAAGCAATAATTTCATCTCACACTTTCATGAAGCAGCTGTTGGACCATCCCTACAGGGGTCAAATGTGGACAATGACAGTTACACTAAAGTTAGGTGCACAAACGTCACCCTCTTACGTTGTGTTAAAGCCTAATTATAACTATCTTAGTTGTGTTTCAGTAAATGTTATTGGTGCCGAATTATCAAGAATTTGCAGAAAGTCATGTGTTTATTAGTTTCTTTAAACTTGGTTTCACATTTCAGCCTTTAGCAGAACAATTACCAGATTTCAACATGAGGTTTGGTGTGAGACGCTGTCGGAGCTGCTGTATTCACCTGCCTGACAGGAGCACGGACAGCTTGTCTATGGCCGTTTTCCCCTCCACGGCGAAGCAGTGGTCCTTCTCTAAGCTCTGGACCTCTGCGTCACAGCAGGCCACGATCTTCCCGAAGTGCGTGAGCGACACCCCGAGCTTTTTGAACACGCAGGCGTACAGCTCCTGGAAGTCCTTCTCGAAGGAGACGCTCCTCAGCCGGTAGGAGACGTGCAGCAGCTGACCCAAACACGCACCGAACAGCGCGAAGGTCCACAGGAACGAGTCCGTGGTGCAGGAGTCGGACCAAGCCCACAGCGTGGAGCAGAAGAAGCCCACGGTCAGTAAGCTGAACAGGTACAGGACTCCGTAGAAGCCGCTGCCCCCCATGAAGCCGAGGAAGAGGAGGATGTTGGAGAGGTGGAACACGGCACCCTCCGCGCCCTCCTTCCACCCCTCACACAGAGGGTAACCCGGCGGACCCGGATCCACCGTGAAGTTCATAGCCTCAAAGTCCGGAGGCTCCATGTTTCTCTACACAGCGTTAAATGAAGCAGAAGACCATGACACATAAAATCCTGCAGAGTCCTTCAGAGTGTGAGGGAGGAGGACTCACTGAGATCATGAGAGAGAGGAACTGACACCTGAGAGAGTGAAGGGGGATCACATTCATCACCGGAAATAGACTGAATATAAACACAAAACCCCAAAGAGGTTATTTGAGTTAAGAGCAGCTTCAGACATGGAATTTAATCAGTAGATTATAAATACATCCAAAAAGTATTTTTATTACATTTTTTAAATCAGATTCAGATTCGTGTTTCTGCGAAGTTCCTTTCTACGGAAGTCCCAAGAGGACATTCATCCATACATTTTATTTTACTCTGTTTTCCTGAAATAATGAGTAAGCCTACATTTCAGTTTTTTTCTTGAGATCTTTTTTAAGTGAATTTCTCAAGATCTCGAGAACACGAATGAAATGAAATGAAATTAACCAGAGCAGTAAAAGATTCTTCAAAATGAATCAAGATAAAACCCCTAAAAAAATCAATACTTTATTACGACGAATCACATTTTTAATCACGTTTGACGTTTCATTATTTTGCATTTCATGAAATGTATGACAACGGTCTTAAGACAAGTGCACTTAACTTCCTGTTTGGACACAACCTGCTTTTATTTTGAAAAAAAAGAAAGAAACTTGTGTTACAGGAAGCCCTACATGTATGTGGTGATAATTCCAATTAAAATATAATTGGAGCAGCTTGTGGTGTGCGGTCTTTCTCTGTCTTTGGATGTCTTATGTCCAGCACCCAGTACTCAACTTTTTGGATGTGACTGCTGTTTGATATTTTTGTATATTATTAAATTGACCACAGAAAAAAAGGAACTTGTTATGGATCGAAAAGTACCGTAAATGAAAACAGCCTAAGAGGTAAAAAAGTTACGAGATAGATTTGACTTTTGACTCGTTGACTAATGGAGTCTGGGAGTTTTTTTTTTTAAGGTGTCATTCTTTTCCATCACTCTGTACCTACTGGGAGATACGGCTGTCTGGGCAGTGGCTTGCCACTTTGCACCTAAATGCACAAAATAGCACACAATCATTGCGATTTGAAAAGATCAATGTATTTATTAGGGAACTTTAATTGCAAAAAAAAGTGAAATGACCTCATTATTGCAGGAAAACCATCGCCGTTATCCTGAGTTAACAAGATAAAAGAGTGGTCAGCAGGAAAACAGTAAATTAAATATGTAAAATATGTAATAAATAAAATACAATGTATTGATGAATGTCCTTTTAGTGCTTCCGTACATAACAATTAAAAACATGACGTAACAAAATAGGAAACAGTGGTTGGTGGTACTCCTTCTGCTACAAAATAAAATAAGATAAATAAACACTAGAAAAAAATAAATAAATACATGTGTTGACCTAAAGATAAAATGTTACATTAGATGTTCTGTAGTGAAGTGCAAATCTAAACATATCAAAGTGAGAGATGAACGCGTCGGCTGCAGCTTTTGGAATGAATCTATAAAGAAAGTTTTACGCCCTCAGTAATCAGAGCGTTGAAGGTTATGAAGGTGTGAGATCTTTGCAGACCAGAATAGCTGCAGCTCTCCCCCTTAAAGAGTGTGTGTGTGTGTGTGTGTGTGCGTGTGTGTGTGTGTGTGTGTGTGTGTGTGTGTGTGTGTGTGTGTGTGTGTGTGTGTGTGTGTGTGTGTGTGTGTGTGTGTGTGTGTGTGTGTGTGTGTGTGTGTGTGTGTGTGTGTGTGTGTGTGTGTGTGTGCTGAAGGTGACTTTGTCTGTTTCCTGGATGGCAAAATGTGTGTGTGTGTGTGTGTTTGTGATGTATCTGGGGCAGCAGTGACAGACGCAGACCCCCGGGTGTATTTCACATCTTTTCTGACATACTGAGCGTGTGCAGGAACATTTTCACCGAGTCTGTCCCTGGATTTTTTTTTAGAAAGCTTAATGAAGAAGAAGAAGAAGAAGAAGAAGAGAAATCAGACTTAGTGATGGAACATGTTGTGTATGTGTGCATGCATGAGGTTCACATTAAAGAATTTATCTCCCTGCAGATACCCAACACCTGCTATTTTTAGAGACCCTGGACAGTGTGTGTGTGTGTGTGTGTGTGTGTGCATACCTGCTTTAAGAGTGTAAAACTGAGAGCTCAGATAGCCACACATGAAAAAGAGCCAATTAACACAAATTATGCAAGGAATCAAATCTGCATGGACGGAGCAGATGTGTCCAATCAGACGTCCGGGGAGACACACAACAATAATTAATCTCCTTCAGCAGAGCTGTGGTGTTATCTGAACAGTTGGCGTGCCCTTATTTTTAGACCGCCCCGGGTACTCTAACTCCTCGCCAGGACGAGGAGAAAGAATCTGCAGGGAGGTTTCGATTTCAATCTCACAAATATCAACTGTCAGTGTGGGAAACTGAACATCAAGTTTGACTTTATCATTCTTACTGTAGCACCAAAAGTACTTTTTGTTCGCATTTTTGGGGTCAAGGTGACTAATATATAAAAATAAAACATAAAAATATGTTTGAATTTCTCCAGTACGACTCTTTAGCCTATACACGTTTTAATATTTAGGTTGAAGTTGTCTTTAGGTCCTGACAGAAATTAATAACTCAGTTTCTCTGAAAAAGGAACAAAGAAAATCCATCATCTGTATCAGTTTGTAAGTCTGTAAAAACTTCGACCAATGTCTGCTACGAGGTACCAATCTGATGAACCAATCGCACGCCTCCCTGTCTCCCTGCTCGTTCTCTACCTCTTGCATGCTCTAGCTCACACTCAAAGCATGAGCTGAGGTCCGCTTCTGGACCAATGGGGTGGGTGCAGACGGAGCACTGAGGGAATTCTTCTTTCTAAATCAAGCTAATTTTCAAAATTAACAACCCTGCCTTTAAGTTCTTGTTTCTGTCACTGACAGGTTCAGATTGTTATTCTAAGTGTCTGACAACATTACAGAGAGGATCCTTCAGAGATAGAGACTGCTATATTCATCTTTTCAAAGACACCAGACTCCATTACAGTCTGTGTCACTCAGTAGGGTTACATGGCGCTAGATATTCAAATTTCTGATCGAATCAGATGCTGTTTGGACTTTTTAAATGCATGGAAACATCTTAGTCTGACCTACATCGGACCAAAACGGACATCTCATAATCGGAAAAGAACACCTCAATGAGTCGTTCATAGTCGGCAAACTAACGGCGTGTAAACTCAGCCATCGTATCGTAAACGGATTTCTTGTTCTGCGCATGCTCGAGAATTTCCGCCGGGGCTTTCACCCGGAAGTGGAACGAGATGACATAATAAATAGTAGTGTTGTCTGCTGTGATCGCCGTAGCCAAAAGATCCGTAGTTCTTCTAGTATGCATTGTTAGAATGTAAATAATGTACGTAGCTGTAGCGTCGTCCATCTCCTCGTGCGCCATCTTTGTTTGAATGCCGCCAGATAGTTTGTTGTTGCTGTGACGTTTAGGTCAACAGGAAGTGGCTCTGTAACCACGTGTTGAAAGGGGTACAGCGCCACATAGCGTAGCGGAGTCAGCCATGCCCCGGCCATTTATACGATTCTCTGATCGGCGTATATACTCAGACAAGTGGCGGCTGTCCGTTCGAGTAGCAAATCGGTATCTGGCTTAATCCTATCAAGCTATCCCATGTAAACACACTGACTGCTGCAGGCTGAAGAATCAAAAACTTTGTTCCTATCAGTCATGTTGACCCCGCAATCATTTGACCTCACAGAGCACATGGTGTTCCTGTTCCCGCTTGCTGTTTGATTGTGTTATTGTTTGATTTGTCATTCAAAACACAAAAGACGAGTAATAACACACACACACAAACCAAACCAGCAAAGCAGTGGTATCCTCGGTTAAATTACTGTTTTTGTCGATGAAGTGTGGTGACTTTGGAGCGAGTGATGTAACAACTGTTTTTAGATCTGCAGCTAAAAGGTTTGTCTGTGTGGGATGAGCTCTACATGAATGTTCCCATAGACCACCGTGGAGTACTTCTCTCGCTGCTGCCTTCCTACAAACATGAAACAATTCGTCAAGATTATGTCAAGTTTTACTGAGCGTGCTGGTTTGTGGGAAACTTCTTGACTAATTGGTTTACCTTGAAATAAGACAACCAGGTGTCTACTATCAAACATTTTTACAGAGGTGGTCGGCCATGTTTGGTGTAGTCAACCTTAAGCAGAGAGATAATGAGCTGTCCTGCTGTGGTGTTTGGTATCCTGCATGGCTACACTTAGGGGAATTCACTGAGAATAAATAGTAGTCGCAGGTCGCCGATAGCATGTAGCGGTTTTGTTGCGCATCCCGTGTACGGAGGCTAAAGTCGTCATTGCAGCGGCCTTGGGTTTGAATCTGACCTCTGCCCTTTGCTGCATCTCATCCCCTTACTCTCTCTTCTCCCAACATTTCCTTATCCAATAAAGGCAAAAATTACCCAACAATATTGGATGCAAATAGCACAAATATCTCCGCATCATTTTCTCCCTCTAACTGCTCCATCTGAAGGTCAAAATCACAAAGCGTATTGCACATTAAGACATTCAAACATACCAATGAAGTTGTCCAGCGCCGCGCAGTTTGCTTCTTCTTTTTGTGACTGCATGAAAGGAGCATTCAGCACCTTCATTCTCTGTGCAGCGCTGCGCTCTCATGCTGACAGAGCTTGATTACGTCCACTTAGACGATGAGCTGGGAGAGGAGGAGACACTTTATACATTTGATTGTGAGGCCAGACTCGAAAAAAAAAAGTAAATCACTGTTTAAAACAGCTGGGATAAAAGCTTTCCCCTTGGATGTTTCCGGTAAGGACAACAAAAACACTCTGACCCCAATCATGTGCAGCAGCTCCAGACTGTCTCCACTGATGAGTGTCTGTATGTGCCAGCACGGGCTGCTGACAACCACAAACTGACTTTACCCCATATTTTATTTAGCATAGTAATGTCAAAGTTACTGATTATTTTTGTTAAACGTAGGAGGAATGCTGTCCTGATCCCTGGAAAGTTTACCCATAACATCCCTTAAAATATTGCGGTTCAGTTACCACCAACTCTGCGAACACTGTTGTTTATTCTCTCTTAATACATGTGGTTATAAGTTGGACTGGGAATCTTTGGGTGCTTAACGATTGGATTAGATTTTTTTCTACGGGTCCCGATTTGATTTGAGAATCTATTTTTGATGGATTTATT